GCACAGGGAAGATGAAATCTAAGTACTGAATTTGATGTGATGAGCTGAGGACTGCCCTGGTGACTCCAGGATACTCAGTGAGGCTTGCCAGGCCGAGGACGCAGAAGCTCGCTGGAAAGAATGCATTGCCTCTTAGAGCAGACGGTGCTTCGCCTGGCCACGGTTGTAATTAGAGGCCCAGGGACAACAAGAATGTGAAGATAGAATGGCTGGCACCTAAGATGCATGGGTAGAGAATGAGGATAGAAAAGGACACTTGATTTGAAGAGGAGTTGAAGCTGCTGGGAGGTGCATCGAGTCCAGTTGGTCCTGCCTACAGTCTGAAGAATAGGCAGGAGCATGCCTGTGTGCAGCAGAGAGACCAAATTTGAAGTCAAGATGGCGGGCTTGCAGCGGAGGGGAGGTGCAGCAGCTTATTGGTCAGCGGCCCTGTGGCTATGGTGAACAGCTAACCGGAAGAGGAAAGAGTCCTGGAGCCGAGCTCCCTGCCGCGCCTTCCTGCCGCTGTTTTATCTCCTTAAAGAGGCCTTCGCCATAGACAGTTACGTGGCTGGTCCATGGCTTCAGACATCATTTGTTGTTGCCATTCTGCTCCTGCGCATGCCGCCAGTGACTTACCTGAGTCTTACTGTACCCAGTTGCACACAGCACGGCTCCGTTTGGGTATGCCGTGGGTGACTCCGGCTGCCGCTGTGCCAGGCACTGCAGGCTTTCTTCGCCATTGCAGAGGCTCGCAGCTCCCATCCGCCCTTCCCCATGCCAGTTGCTCTTCCTTGAGCTTTTTGTACTTTCGTTAATAATTTTGTCTGTGGTGAGGAAAAGAGAGCACATCCTGGGGGCTCCCTACACTGGGCACTGCCAACTCTGTGCTGTCGCACTTTCCCTGTGTGGCTCATGCTACCATCCAACTCTGAAACACGAGGGACATTGCTCAAACCACACAGCTGATTCATGGCAGATGCAGGGTAGCAATGGAGTTGTAGGCCCCGGGAGGTCATGCACAGTCAGTCTGATGAGATGTGCAGATGGGGTAGGAATGAGAAACACACACAAGCAGATGATACAGCAAATGCAAAGGCCCTGTGACACATGAGCTGGATTTGTTTCAGGAGATGGCGACAGCAAGCCGAGCGAGAGGCAGAGACTGAGACTGAAAAGGCAGAACTGATAAGGCCACACCCAACACGGAGTAGAGTAGAGAGAACAGAAACAGACCTAGTGAATGCTGCTGCAGGGCCGTAACGGGAGGCGGCTGAGGAAGCTAAGGCACAAGAGTCAGAACGTGTGTTGAGAGCAACTTGGACAGGGCTTGCTGCCGGAAACAATGGCGCATCCACTGAACAGCAAGCAGTACTGACTGCTAGTGGTGCAGATCACAGGACTTCTCTAGAGCGGATGAGGGGAAGAGGGCTGTCCCTCACTCAGCGGACAGTCATAGTTCTGGTAGCAGCTGAATTTGGTGGTGGTTTTGTGCATGGCAGGTCTGGAAGGAGGAGAAAGTCTAGCGCAGATAATGATGTAAAGATGGGAAGCAGATCCTGTGCCCCCTATAGCTCTCTGAGAATCAGTCCTTGGGATCTGTGAAAGCAAAAACAGTACTGACCTCCACCCCTCACTTTATCACACACCATGGCTGTAATGTTTGCTCTTTGAGGTGCAGTGGCAGAATTAGCACATTTTTTTCTCAGTGTGAAGGTTTTGTAGCTACCTCAAATGTCATTTTCTTTCTTTAAAAAAAAAATCAATTATAAAAAAAAGTATGAGTATTATTCCTTGGCATGGCCGACATCACTATTCTTGTGCTTTGGAGCCATTTTTACATTAAATAAGGGTTCCTGTATCATAAATAACTGTGCCACTAAATCTTATGATGCTTGGCTGGTAGGGGACTAATGGGCAGGATTGAGTATACAGTGTTGATGAGCCTAGACCAAAGGGTGATTCATATTGCAGAGGGGATGGAGAGAGATGAAGAGGGATTTCATTACTAGGAAGTGAAAATATTTAAAGATATATGAACTGTTTATTCCTGGACGTTTAAGGTTTCACATTGTGGTTGGCCCCAGAGAAATAAAACTTCAGAAAGCAAAACTGCAGATCATGGCACCTTCTGTAACGTATCTGCACACGTGGGTCTGTGTGACTCAGTGGAGCTGAGCCTCACCGTGCCACAGTGCGCAGTCTCTAAAAAGGGCTCCTGTGGTCGTGGGGCAGTTTAATAGCAGCAGAGAGAATCTTGTTGTTTCTATAGTAATTGTAATGGTAATGACCACACTAGAGACTTATGATGGGCCAGGAATATTCCTAAGGATTTTCATCCTCCTGCTAATACTCTGAATAGATAATTAGTATTCCATTTTTATGGAAGGGGATCTCAGGCATGGAGTATGTAGTTTGTCTACACTCAGACAGCTGATGTAAAGAGCCTGTATGCAGAGCTTGCCTCCTGAGACTCTACACTCTCAACCACAGCTTAGTCCAGCTCACTCAGGTTCTCCACATGGAGTGTTGTTTACAAAAAGTCACCTGCTAGGAACCATACAAGCCACTGTGGGGTAACCCGAGGGCAAGGTCACAGTCTAAACTATATTGAAATGGAATAATGTAGCATGTTCACTCAGTATACCCTAAACAATTCAGTGGAGAACTTTATACCTCTACTAACTAAAATAGCTAAGGCTAGGTCAGTTTAGATGCACAGTGGGAGGTGTATCTGGGTTCAGCAATATGGCTTAGCAGGCCATGAGCTGCTCTCCACACTAAAACACTTAAGTGGTTGATTCTAGTTGCTGCATGGAATTTGACAGTTCTCAATGAAATGTCTTGGTGTGACCTTTTTTTCTGACTCACGGATCATAAAAGAGATGTATGTATTATTAATTATAAAGTCATTTATTAATTCATCAAGTATTTGGGAGGACCTCCATTGACTACTTATGGTCCTACCTGATTAGTATGCAGTGTGAGCAACATGATGAGGTGACTGTCCTCCGTGAGTTCACATGGTAATAAGAATTGACTCTCAGACTGGCACTGGCCAGATGGAGAAAAATGGCTTTAGAGGGGTCAGTGGCTGAGGCTCCTGGGGTGGCTGCAGATGGGCCTGTCTAGGTTGGCTGCTGCTGTGGACGCCTAATGTTTCCCTTGCTCACTGTTTCTCCTTGTTGAAGACCCACAGCTGGAAGCAGAGGGGCCAGCAGGAGAACGACAGCCAGAGGTTGAGGACTTCCTCACAGTGACTGACGGAGATGACAGATTTGAGGCCATGGAATCTGGGGCAGTTCATGAAGGTAGAGCACGTTTGTTTTAAAATAGTTGATAGGAGGGCTGGAGAGATGGCTCAGTGCTTCAGAGCACTGGCTGCTTTTCAGAGGATCCAGGTTTAATTCCCAGCACCCACATGGCAGCTCACGACTGTCTGTAACTCTAGATCCAGAGGATCTGACATCCTCACACAGACATGCATGCGGGCAAAACACCAATGCACATAAAAATCAATAAATAAAATAATTGATAGTTTATAGTGTAATTATTAAAACGTTCCTAAAATTCCTTTAAGAGCAATATTTAATTTTATCTACATATTTTGAGGATTTAGCTTAATGCTGCAAAGTGAATGAACTTTTCTCTAAAATAAGATAATACCCGATTTCTTTCAAAGTCTGAAGGGAACCCATAAATAAGAGGATTTCTGATCATGGTGAGTACGGTGCTTTAGCAAACCTCTCCTGTGTGGCACCACCTAGGTGCCAGTGCTTTAGCAAACCTCTCCTGTGTGGCACCACCTAGGTGCCATGTGACATATGAAATTCAAGTCACAGAACCACTGCACTTGCTGTCTGCCCCTGGGTCTTGTTCTGACAGCAGTGTCTCCCCGTCCTGGCCAGAGTGGAGTCTGTAGCTTCCATAGTACATGTCTCCAGACATTTTTTGTAAGTAGCAAGTGTTTTCAGCCAGTGGAAAATTCAGTCGATGCTAGGACTCTTAGCTGCTCTTGTAGCACAAAGGCAATAGTCAACTATAATTAATTAGGTAAAAAATGTCTGTGCTAACCAGCTAACAAATGGTTGCAAAAACTGCAAGTCACAAAACAGCAAAACATACACACTTCTGGCATAATATGCTATGAAATTTCTCTAGTGGTAGGCGGCTTCTAATTTATGAAGATTTTCTAGGAATTTTCATCTAAGCCTGCTTAGAGCAAGAGAGACATTCTTTGTAGAAAAAGTGATAGCGTTGGTGGGCAGCATCCACGCCAATGATCAGAAGTGTATATAGTATGTATTTTATGTGTGTGTCAAAAGGCAGCCTAAAGTGCTTTTGAACATACATCTGTTTTCAGCTGCATTACACAGAAGACAGGTGTTGATGGACAAGGTTACAGCGTTCACACTCATCATTCATGTCCTGATTCCATAGGAACAGGTTTCTAATTTCTGAGTGAAGATGCTCCAGCAACGAGGTCCCCATTTTCATGGTGTCATGCTTGGCTCTCTTGTCTTTGACTAAGATGGCTCAGAGTGCTTTACAGGGGCTCAGAATTTTTATTGAGGTGCTGCTAATTGCAGTTCACATGGATTTGATATTTGAAGCAGGAAGGGTTTAATATTAGCAAGGTTAGGAGGTCAGCTCTGGACTGGAAGAGCTACTTCTAAGAAGCCTGTAAGTTAAAGAAACCTTATTTTCTATCATAATCTTTGATAAAAAACAGATTACATTTGAACCAAAAAGTTTTATCATTGAGAGTCTTTAGAGATTAAAAATATTTGCTCCTTCTGATCTGTCAAATAAAATATACAAAAATTGAATCATAAAAAAGCAGAGCGTGGCGTGGCCTTGTTGGAAAGAAGGGCCCTGTAGAGAGTGCAGAGGATGAAGAGAAGGTGATGGAGGATGAACGTGATCAGAACACATTCTGTACGTGGACACGATTGTCAAGGGATGTCTAAAGTACGCAAAGGTTCTAGTGGTGAGGATCGAAGGGTGGCATTTTTACTCTCAGAGGAAGGGAGCTCAGTGACCCGGGCATTTCCTATGCAGGCGTGGTGGTACATGTCTACAGTCCATTCATTAGTCGGAAGCCAGGCTGGATGGCGAGACCTTGTTTCAAAAATAAACAGAAACCCAGTTGTGGTGGTACACGCATTTAATTCCAGCATTCAGGAGGCAGAGGCAGGTGGATCTCTGTGAGTTCTAGCCCAGCCTGGTCTCTGGAGAGTTCTACACCAGCCATAGGCACCAAGTGAGACCTTGTCTGAAAACAAAACCAACTAACCACCAACCAATTCAAAACCAAACCAAACCCGGAAGACATTCTCTTTAGCTTTGCATACATACCAAGTCTCCTCTATTCTTGTTTTCAACATGCATTTCCACTTTAGAGAAGAGTGGGGCAAAGCTAGTAACCAGAATGCCACAGTGGAGTGTGGACTGACAGTTCGCACCTTTCCGGCATGCAGCCCCTGTGGTCACTGCGTGAATTGCCTTCTCTCCTTTCTCCAGGTTGTGGTGTGTGTCAACTCTGTGGTGGGTAAAGTAAGAATGCATGAGATGTGTGGTATAAAGTAGTGATTAAATGATAGAGACTTAATTGATATTTCCTTGCTTTATTTTGATAGTTTTATAATGAAATCATTGATAAGCATTCAAGACAGACATATAGACATATAGCAGATACATATACCATATATGAGAGAGTAGTAATATCAACCTAATGCTTCTTTTCTTTCAGAAACTGAGGATAGTTACCATATGGAAGAGATGGGTAAGATTTTTATTAGTCTTTATTAATTAGAGTGAATCTTCTTCTAACAGAATCATGAGTTACATAAAATACTATTTATTAATATTTTTAAATTATTCAGTGTATCATATGACATATAGCTAATAATGTTATTTGTGTTTTGTTCATATTCATTTTCTGAATATAAATCCCAAATAGTGGAATTGCTCTGCCAAAATATGCAAAGGAATTGCATTTCATTTTGATGGTATTTACCTGTAATTTCAGACTCAGAAAGTGGAAGTGGGAAGGTTGTTAGTTCAAAACTCCCCTGGGTTATATAGTGCAACCTTGTCAAAACAAACACACACAGACACACACCCACCACCACCACCACCACCACCACCACCACCACCAGGAACAGTAAACAACAACAACAACAAACCATGGTGCCTCACATCTATAATGCTAGAATCTGGCAGGCTGAGACAAGACAATTGCCATGAGGCCAGCCTGGGCTATAAAGTAAGACCTGTCTCAAACAAAACAAAAGAAAGAGGAAGAAAAATAAACAATCACAAAACAATGCATGCATACTTTATAGCTTTAAATTGTGAAGTTGGTGAAAGATCTATATCATGTTTTCCTGCCTGTCATGAGACCCTAGAAAGCATGTCCATGCTCAAGCTGGATTTATTGTATTTCAGGGAGCCTATTCTGACTAGTTTTCCTTCTAGTATCAGAGCAAATGACTCTTGGTGTTATTGAGTGGTCTTTAGGACCCGAATCCCTTCAGTGCTATAGATCTGTAAACACTGGACTGTTACAGTTGGAGCCAGTCTGGTAAGACTCTATGTACAGTGCTCCTTTGTGGCAAGAGGACTGACCTGCGCTGTCCTCATATGTTGTGAACGGCTGACTAGCTGAATTTGGACATGCCACATGAGACTATAGCTCTGCTGCTTTATGCATGGATTATAAATTCATTGCTGTTGGAAACTGCCTTATCTTTTTATTTGGCATTAAGTATAGTTCATGTAAGTTTGTTCTCTGAGTAAACATGGTAGATCACAGGATTTGTGGCTTTCTGGTTTTAGGTATCACATATAAACCTTATTTGAAACATTTTAACTTCCTCTTTCCTAATTTATAGCATCCCAGGACCATCCAAACGATGTAGAAGAGATGATGCATGAGCAAGAACGCTCAGGTCTGTAAATATTAAAATTACCAATGTATTTTCTGTTGGAGGTTGTGACTTAGGACGGCTCAAGGCAGTGAATGGTTTACTCTGATTTCCCACAGAGGTGATTCACAATTCTTGCAGTTGCTCATATTCCCTAGATGACAGGGTTTTCTGCATATCATATAACAGTACAAGGTAAATGGGGAGAAAAGGATGCCTTTCTTCACACCACTGGGGCTCCTTTAAAGGGGCCCTGGAATGGAAGAGAGCGCGATGTCAGAGGCAGGAGGCTGCACACCTTATCTGCTCTTTAGCCATCTTGGCACCTAGACAGCAGCTTGTGGGACTCTGTGTGTGTTAAACTTTATTAAAGAGAGTAGTAGTACATGTGTCAGTTCTTACTGCTGAGACACAATAGCCAAGAGGTAATTTTTTGAGGATGAAACCATTTTTCAGTTTCATTAACATACTGGCTTTCATTATGATATTTTCATCCATTTGTACTGTGTACATTAATATATTTATACACACTCCTACCGTCCACCGTTCTCTGGCTTTCCCATCATTCTCCTTTCCTCCATTTTTCCAAATAGTCTTCCTCCTGCTCTCAAATTTTGTCTCTTCCTTTCTTTCCCTCTCTCTCCCCTTCCTCTTCCTCCCCTTAAAGTTTTCACAGGAGAGCAAACGCATTGGTCTCTCAGATTCTGACTTCCTTTACTTAACTTGACATCTTCAGTTCAATCCACTGACTTCAAATGACAAAGTTGTGTTCTTTATGGTGAAACGAAACATCACTCTTGATTTATACCTCATTGTCTATATCTAATCATTGGATACTTAGGCTGACTCCATGAGTTAGCTATTGTAGATAGGGTCACAGCAAATGTAGACGTGCAGGTGTCTGTTGTATATAGACGTAGACTCCCTAAGTATATATCCTGGTGTGGGATAGCAGGATCAAACCATAGAGGGAAGACTTCTCTCTGCTCATAGAATCAGATTTTCATTATTATTCTTGTTATTTTTAGTGGTGATGCTGGGGTTTGAACCCAGGGCCACCTAAGTACTAGGCAAGCGCTCTACCACTGCACTACTTCCTAGCCCAGAATCCTGTGTTTTAGGTTTGGGTTTATGAGCTCCATTGCTTTGGGCCTGAGGCAAAGCAGAATGTTATGCAGCAGGAGCAGATGGCAGAGTGAGCCTACTCACATCATGATACCTGGCAGCAAAAAGCTTGTGAAGGGAGGGCAAGCTATATTCAACCCCGAGTGACACAATGACCTATTTCCTCTATTAAGGCCCCATCTCCTAACAGCCCATTCAGCTATAAATTATTGATGGATTAATCCATTGATGAGGTTAACACCTTATGATCAATCACCTCTCCATAGTGCCACCGACTGGGACCGTAGCCTCCAACACAGGAGCCTTTGGGGACATTTTATATCCAAGGCACAACAGTATCTACCTTATAAGGTTTTTCAGGTTAGAATTAATGTATACTCTTCTAGAATGGTGTCTGTGATATGTGTGCTGTTTGCTATAGGCAAAATCTTTCTTTTCTTTTTTTAGATCCTAGCGAAACAGCAAGAGACATTGATGAGCCGCAGCAGGGTGCAGGTATTGATGGGCATTGCTATTTGCATTTCAACCATGAAAGGGTCTTCAGTGCTACTGTGTTTATTTGGTGTTTTTTTCTGTCAAAGACTAAAGATGCAGTTTCAGTAGGACTTTTTTGTCCTGTATCAAAGGTAGTTTATTAAAGGAATATCGTGTGCTTGTCTCCTCCTACTGACAGCCCCACTGTGACAAAGTGAGCCACAAACTCCTAGTGCTAAGTTTTTATAGGTTATTAGCAGGAATTTTTATGAGAATAATTTTCCTTCTTTTACATCATTCCCTTTGGAGAGAGGCACATGTTTGTAACTGCGACATCAATTAGATATCTGTGTTTAAGATAAGGTTTTTTAGTATTTGTTTTTTTTTTCATTTTTCTTTAGTTACACAGCTTATTTTGTCTTAAATCTCCTTTTTTTTTTTGCAGAGGAAGCAACACACCAAGACTATGCTGAACCAGGTTTGTAAATATTTCTTAACCCTAAGCCATTTATTTGTTTAAAAATTTATTCATTATTGGTGAAATTATTAAGGCCACTCCACGTAGTTAAAAGGAAGATTTATTTAGTGGGTAACTTACAAAAAAGGGATAGGTAGGTCGTGGGGTCTGGGAACGTGTATCGCAGTCCAACGATGTTCTCTGGAGCTCTGCTCTGTCAACCTCCACTGTCAAGGGTCCAGGAACAGAGAGAGCGCTGGCCCATCCAGATCTCGGGTCTCTAGGTGCCTCCCTTGGCCATGCCTTGTAGGCGTGACAGTTGCCAAAGCCTCAATGGGGGTTCAAACTTCCAGATCAAAGCTGGAATGGCTACCCACTACATCTCCCCCTTTTTGTGTAAATAAGAAGGTTCTAACCTAATACAAGACTATATACAAAGGAATGGTTATCAAATATTGTCCAGAAATAATGAGGGATAATGACCTAGATAAGATGGAACTACAACCAATGCAAACAATATCAAGCAAGAAACACATACTAAAATCCAGAGAAGTATAGAGCATAGGTAAATGGCATGTTATAAAGATCATTCCAAAAGGTGTCCTATCCTAAAGAACCTGAATCTAATACTTAATATGTTCTATCTAAGATATTACACACACACACACACACACACACACACAAAGTTGTAACTATAACTGCTAGTCTTCAATCCCATCAAAGACCTGAGAAGGAACATAATGGTACCTAAGAAATTGTAGATGGATGCAAGTAACTTTTGGGAATCTTGCAAGAGTAGACCGAGACAGCTGGCTGTAGATGTAACTAACCGTCTTATTAAATAAGAAACACAGAACCAGTGCAAAGAAGAAAGCTAAGAGGTCAGAGCTCAGAGCTAAAATCTTACCCTTCCTCCTGCGGTGGTCCTACCTCTCCGAAAAAGATCTTCCTGTGTGTTTGTCTTTATATAGTCTTTCTGTTCTGCCTTCTCATTGATTGTAAACCCAAACACCTGACTCTCTCGTCACCGTCTGTATGTACAGCCCTCCAGGTCTTTTATGGTATTGAGATTAAAGGCATGTGTCTCAAATGCTGGCTATATCCTTGAACATACAGAGATCTACCTAGCTCTGTCTACCAAGTGCTGGGATTAAAAGTGTGCGCCACCACCGCCACGCTCTTGCTATGGCTCTAATAGCTCTGATCGCCGGGCAACTTTATTTATTAACATACAATTAAAATCACATTTCAGTACAAATAAAATACCACCATAGCTGGCAGCCTGGACAGTCACCTAATGTTTCTTAGCATTGTTGGTGCATTCAAATTGGCTACAGGCCTAGAATATCTGACAGACCATTTTCAGAAGCAGGAATTCTGAAAGACCATCTTACCCTGTCTTGGCAGAGTACAGTGGTCGCTTTCCTTGTGTCCCACTTGTCCAGAAAGGACAGCATTGCATTTGTACTGTCAGCAGTCGAGGCAAGGGCAGTTCTTTGCCCAGTAGGCCATTTTGTGCCAAGAAGACAAACTTCCAAATGGAAATGTCTTAGAAGCCCAATACTACACTTCTTGCCAGAATTTCAGACAATCTTACCCATTACTAAGATTTGCTGCAGAACCTACAGTTAGTCTAAGTGAGATTTAACTATCTGAGCTTTCTCACAGTACCCAACAGAGATACCATCACCCCCAAAACAGCAGGAAGCAAATCTAAGAAAACGACGCCCCTTCTCCCTAAGTTTCATATTACTCAGGGTTATGGATGATGGTTATAGGGTTGGGGGTGGAAGAAAATATTAGACTCAGTATTCTCTTAAAAAAAAGGAAAAGAAGAAATGGAATGGATAGGTATAAGATATTATGGTAGATTACTGTATATACTAGTAAACAAATTTAGTAAAATAGCAGCCTTAGATAATTTGCACTGTAATTTGCACTGTTATGGATTCTTATCTGTTGATACAAATGTTAACTATTTTTATATTCCTGTTTAAGATATATATTCAGATCTGTGAGCTCTGAGGTTATGGGAGCCCTACTTGAAGGAATTACAACTTTTTAAGAGCTGGCAAAGTGCACAGAGAAAAGAAAAATAACAGTCTGTGTGTAGGTGTGACATGCTATTTGTTATGTATATGTTTAAGATTTGAGAAAGTATCAAGATCACTATCTATAATGGCTGTTTCCATTGGGATATAAATGATAAGCTTAGGTTGTCTTTGCATACAGTTTTTTAAAAAATTAAAAAACTTGGCCATTGAGATAGCATTAAATTTTCAGTCTTGAATTTGAAGGAGAAATGGGAATTTAGACATTAAAGATTATTTCTAGAGCTAAGATATGGGATATTTTTCTGCATTCTTCCAATCATTGTCATGGTTTTAAAAAAACGTGATTGGTCTAGTGTTCAGACTAGCTCAGATTTAGAGGAATCTAAAATCAAATGGAACAAGACTTAGGTTGGATATCACACTCAGTGGCAATTTTTTTTGTTTCTTTGTTTTGTTTTTGAGACAGGGTTTCTCTATGTTGTTTTGGTGCCTGTCCTGGAACTTGCTCTCTAGACCAGGCTGGCCTCGAACTCACAGAGATCCACCTGCCTCTGCCTCCCAAGTGCTGGGGTTAAAGGCACGCACCACCACCGCCCAGCATAGTAAGTGTTATTTTAAAATGTTAACAGGAGTTAATGACTATGACCTGACCTAAATGGACACCAGGATTTGGTAGGATGCTTTGCATTGCCTTGCTATATATAAAGTGAAACTTCATCAGGTAGAAATAGTGGAAGAACTTCATGTCCATTCTCCCTCAAACTCTGCAGAACCTCTGCAAACTCTGCATGTAAACACATGCCTTTCCACCTCACAGATGTCCCTGCAAGCATCAAGCCTACAGTGCACAGCCTAGGAAGTGATGTCACAGCCTTGCTAGCCCACTGAGTTACTTATTTACATGTTATCTATCAGTAGCACAGGTGCTGGAGCAGCTGTTGGAAAGGACACATGTGTTTGGTGTTCTTACAGACTTTATAGTGTGGCAGGAGGAAGGAATTAGCCTGTGATTCCAGTGCAGCCTTCTGTTAGCTGACAGGTACTTGTGGGAGCCAGTTCATTGCGGGGCAGGTCTATAATAAAAGACAGGCTGGCTTGTGGATTAGGTCCATGGAGATGGGTGTGGTTGGTGATGTCTGTTTATGGATTCTGTGGGGTGAGAGAGGGATGGAGCTAAAATGGCTCTGTGATCCATGTCCAGAGGAGATGTGTAGACAAGGTCAAGAACAACTTCATCCTCTTGGGGTGGCACGCAGGGGCACTGCAAAGTCAGATCTGCATCCTGAATACGCTGATGCGTCTGCAGATAATGAGCTGGAGATAGACAAGGGGCCGTAGTGGAGAGGTGGTTAGGTGATGGTCGTGATTGAAGTCTGACCTGGCCTCTAAGTCATATTTAGGTCAGTTGAGGACCCACAGGAGATAAAAGTTCCAGAAAGGGATGTTTGGTGGGGCCTGGTGCTTCTAGGAGCCACGTTCGAGCCGTGTGCTGCTCTGCTACCGTTCAGTGGACAGATTGGATGGCAGTGATGGCGGTTAATGCCAGGAAGCGGGGTGGTGGCAGTAAAGGTGGAGGGCGGTGGACATAGCTGAGCAGTGTCTAGAGGGTAAAACTGTTAGGGCTTGCAGCATGTAGGTAGATGGGAAGTCGGGAAACAAGGAGCCAGGAACGGTGACTCCTCTGCCGGCTTGATGGATGGTGGGCTTTTTTCTAAGAAAAGAGAAACTGGGAGACAAAGAATTCTTGAGCCCAGTTTCATGCAAACTGGTAGTGAGGGTGGTTTGAGCTCCCCAAGAGGTGAGACAAGAGAAACCATTTGATGGTGTTCTGCTTGCAGTGGAGTCCAGTGCCCGGGGATTCCTGTGATTGGAGCCAGGCTGTGAATCCTCTAATAAGAGGACAATGGGATCAAGGGTAGGTCCTGTGTTGGGGAGCAGGGTTCTACTGCCTGGAATAAAAAGGACTGTGTGATTAAGAGGACAGTGGGGTCAAGGGTAGATCCTGTGTCTAGGAGCACACCTCTACTACCTGGTAGTACTACCTTTTCTTAAAAGGACTGGGTGATGGAGAAGATCAAGAATGAGAAAGGAGAGAGCCCTGCAAGCCCAGGGTGGATGTTGGAGCAAGGCCTATTGCTAAGAGATCCTTTAGGGTGGGGCTTACAAGTATCCTGAGTTTAATGCTGTCGCTGTGCTCATGGGGGTCATTTCAGGCACTCATAGGAGTGGGTTGAGTAGAGAGATCCCTGTCAGTCACTGAAGAAATCTGACTGAGGTAGAAGGGCAGGGCAAAAGTCACCTGGCCCAGGAAAGATCTGGCTTCACTCCTGGAGTCTGTAGAGGTTTGTTTGTGCCTGTTTAAATGCTAACTGCCGGGTGGCGTGGTTGTCCTCCAGTAATGTCTAAAACATAGTCAATACTCAAAAGCAGTTCTTCCTTTATGTATAAATGGATAGATTTATTACCACTGAGGCAGACTAGGAGGTTTGTTTTTGGTGTACCAGACATTGGAAGCATTTTAGAAGGTCAGTTGACAGGAAATTGCTTGCTGCTGGGTATGGGGGAGGGCCGTGGGGACACACTGTTTGCAACAAAGCACAGAAACTCCAGGCCCTGTGGCAACAGATGGCAGCAGGGACAGGCACCGGGCCCTGGTTACCATGGTAAATCAAAGGCCCTGTCAGCCAGTTCCTGCTAAGAGGGTAGCAGCAGGGATGCATGTCCCCAGGTTACCATCTGAGAACCAATCCCTATGCAAACTAGAGACTGCCTGGTAAGAACTGAGATCCAAGATAATTAGCAGGCTAGAGCTCACACAGACAGGAAGCAAACAGAAAGAAGAATCTGCATCAACCAGCTAATCTTGCTGCCTGGGGGAGGAGCTTCTACTTGCCTCTGTGCAGGAAGGAGCATATGAAGTTACCATCTCCCGTGGCTGCCCAGTGGCTAAACTTTGAGCCCAGACTGTTTGCTTTACATCATTCAGCCGCATTCCTCCCATCCTGCCTCTGTAATACACATTGTTAGAGAGGGAGCCTGGGAGTTAAAACATCTATGAATGAAAGAAGGACATTGTTGGTTGTCACTGTTACTTGGTGCTACCTGATTTTTTTTTTCTGCTTACTTCATAGTATATGAACATTCAGAAAACGAAGGGATAGAGATTTCAGGTGAGTTTTTCCAATGTTAACTGTGCATTTTTACCTGCATAGCTGTGGAGCAAAAAGAGAGAGAAGAAACACAATAGATTTCTCAAGCCACTAAGGAGTCACTAGGAATTGCCAAACATGGTGTCTACAGTGAGATTGGTGTTAGCATGGCCCACAGATTCCAAACCCGAAGGTACTCCAGGCCCTGTCTGAAACAGCACGGCCTCTGCAGCCTGTAACCTGTGTGTGTTTCCCAAGCACGTTGAACCACCCCTGCATCACCCCCCTGGAATGCCATTGGGATGCTATGTCTGTAGGTCAGTTCCCAAGAGAGCGGTGTCTGTACAGGTTCACTTTTCCTTTTTCCCTGGGTGTTTCTGATCCTTGGCTGGTGAATGTGAGGATGTAGAACCCATGGGCACAGAAGAATTTTTATTTTACATCAGAAGTCTAAGATTAGTCTCTTTGATTAAACTTTTGAATACAATTAAGAATTGAATACAATTAAGTTGATTTTGTGGTGAAATACTCAGGAGTCTTCCATAAGGAAATATAACCTAGACAAAACTTTCTGAGTGGATTTTAGCCACTTTAGGGATCTAAGTCAGTGGTTCTCAACCTGTGGGTCACAACCCATTTGGGGGTCAAAGACCCTTTGACAGGGGCTACCTGTCAAAATACCTGTGGAAAACACAGGTATTTACCTTATGATTCATAACAGTAGCAAAATTGCAGTTATGAAGTGGCAACAAAATAATTTTATGGTTGGAGGGAGCGGGGGGGGCGGGGGGGGGTTTACCACAACATGAGGAACTGTATTAAAGGGTCGCAGCATCAGGAAGGTTGAGAACCACTAATCTAAGTAAAGGTGAGTTAATATGTTTGGTTTATTATTATTTTTTTTTTTTTTAGATAATACCATAGAAGATTCCAGCATAATTTCAGAAGGTAGGTTATTTTTATAAAGATGATCCTATACTCTGTATCAAAGTAGATCATTTTATTGAAAACACATGCTGAGCTGTGTGTTTACCCAGGGCTCAGGGGCTCGAAGTGCCAGGGTGGATGAAGCCAGTAGAGTTCTTTTCCATGAGGCTGCCATTCTACTGGCCATCCATAATAGAAGAGTGCAGAGACAGTGACCGAAGACAGTGACAGGCTGCTGTGAGAAAAATAGACGTGTGGGAAGGGGTGCCCTTGTTTACCAGTAAGTGACCACTTCAGAAAAGGCGCGCTGGTGATAAAGGGTTATTCTGCTTGGAGATGGGCTGGAAGCTTCATGATTCATGATGTCATTTAGATGCAAAGGAGGGAAAACATAGTTATTGCTTGTTTGGTTGATAGGGTTTCTTGGAAATGAAAGGATGTTTCCTGAAAAGTAAAAGTAGTTGCTTATTCTCAGTTAAGTAGCAGTATTTCAGTACAGCAGATTCAATGATTCTTAGTTCACAGCAAGTTCCACATGGATTGTCTTGACTGGTCCTTATGGTAGACACCGAGGAGGAGATGGGGCAAAAATTTTTGTGTTTTTTGTTTTGTTTGTTTTTTTATACAAATGTGCTGAAATTGGAACAAGGCCTAGTGAGACCTGGGTGATCTTGGTTCATCCTAGTTCCTCAGGCACAGTGGCTGAGTGTCCCTTCCCTGGAGTCCTGAAGTTGACTGTGAGCATGCATGCTTTCTTAGCAGAAGGCTACCATATGAAGTAAGGAGAGGTTTCCTTGAAAATTCCTCTTAGAGTTTTTTTGTCAGGCTGGAATTAGAGCCCCTGCCATGGGTAAACACCCCACTGAGATACGGTGCAGCTAAGGGTTAGTGTCTTTGAGCTTGGTTTGGCAGACTGCATTGAAGTGTAATCTGAGGAAATGTGTGTGAAGTGACTAGATTTACCTTCCTGTGCACATGCAATGGGGAGATGCCTGCACAGGTATAACCTCTGCATTCAGATAGGAGTCAGGTACCAGTGACAGAAAACCAAAACCCTTGAGGAGAGTTTAATAGAACCTTCTTGGCTTGAAAATAATAAACACCAGGGTTCTGTTAGAGGAACTGAACCTACATGATGAGCATATATTCCAAAAGACTGTCTGTTAGATTGGCTTATCTGGTGTGAGCTGGGTGGCCCAACAATGACTGGCTGCACACTGGGGGGACCGAGACCCTAGTAATGGTGTCAGTACACAGCTGGATGCCTCAGCAGTCCAGGGTGGTGATGACCTGGGGACTCCCAGAGAGCTGCTGGTCTTCTGTGCAGTTGGAAGGCCGATGGAGCTGAGTTCTGATGGCAGTGGATGACGAGGCTGTGGGACGGCTGTGCTCTCTAGCAGGAGACAACACTGCTCCTGTGCATCCTCTCTGTATGTCTGGGTTGCTGCTGAGGATTCTGTCTCTCTGTGAGCACCTCTCACCTCTCAGTTAATCCTGCTGGGGTCTGCCCAGAGCCGTGTCTCTTCGCTGACTCCACGTTCGGTCCAGTTGACAGTCAAGACTGACCACCACAGTCACCATATGTGATTTAACCACACAAAGCGATTCTCCTGCCTTTGCCTTCCCAGTGCTGGGATCAAAGATGTGCACCACACCTGGCTGAATCGTGATCCTAATTGGTCTTATTAAATAAAAACCCAGAGTCAGATGTTTTTCTTTTTAGAACAAGATCCCTGATTCTAATCTCCTTTGTTTAGCTTTTCTCCTGACCATTAAAACTTGTAACCAACCACCCTAAACAGTGACAAATTTCCATAACCATCCATCCCACCTCTTGGGAATGTGGGCTTAATATTTTTAAAATTACTTCTTGCTGTCTGGGGGCAATGGCATCTTCAGAGGACCCTGAAAAAGAAAATAGGTTAATTGTCAAGTCCTGAGAGAGCTAGTCCTATATCATTTGTTATCCAGTCTCTGTATAATGGGAAAGTGCTGGCCTGTGTCAAGTCTTGGCTAGAGTAGTCTGTGAGGCTGGATAATCTCAGCCAGCCACCTTGAATTGAATTGTCCTGAGCAGTTTATAGTCCAAAGTGGATCTTTAGGTGGTGTTTTTCAGATTAGTGGAGTTACCATAGTTCAGGTGGAATCATCATTGTGGGATCCTATCATCTCTTTGGAGACTTCAGAGATCGCATTAGTTTAGATTACTCCTTTTCTTGGAAATTTTTTTCTGAGTAGTTCTCCCTTCTTCTTTGCATGCTTATTTGTCCAAAGGTCTTTAAATTCCTCAAGATGGTTGATTTTATTTTCCTGGAAAGACAAAAACAAAACACTCCCAACTTAACTTTGGGGAGTTTCCTTTTTGGCAAGTTATATCTGATTAAATGAAAAGCATTTGTTAGTTTTATAAGTTAGTTTAGATTGGATGGTCATGCTGTTTGATAAACTATCCCATCTTCTAATCAAGAAGCCTCTCTTGTTCAAATCTAGTCTTATCAATTTTGTTTTATGGTTTCTCCTGAAAAAAAAAATTTGTTTCTTCGACACAGGGTTTCTCTGTGTAGTATTAGTGCCTGTCCTGGATCTCACTCTGTAGACCAGCCTGGCCTTGAACTCACAGAGATCTGCCTGGCTCTGCCTCCCTCCCGAGTGCTGGGATTAAAGGCATGTGCCACTGCTACCCAGCTGAAATTTTTGTTTTATTTACTAAAGCTCTTCTATCATGCAGAGCAGTATGGCTTTTAACAATAGGCATTAAGTCCTTTAATTGCTCTGGGAAGGCAATTACAAGGAATGACTCAACCAAATTTGGCATGGGGGCCTGTGAGAGCCCCCCTAAGGTGCTTCCCAATGGCAAAGGGTTACCCTGTGTGTCCCTTGTTGATCTGCATTCATTGGTCCAGTGTTGGCCTTTGCTACACCTTCTGCATACTCCAGAAGGGAGGGCTTTTTGTTTGGATTATTCCTAGAAAAAAAACAATGTTTCTAGGAATACCTTGTCTACAATCCCTTTTTAGGTTATCTTGTTTGCCACAATTAAAACACCAGACATTTTGATTTTTCTTCATTCTTCTGGAAACCACCTCTCCTATCCAAACATCATCATGGTTATGAGATTCAATATTGACTGTATCTCGGATCTATTCCCCTATAGGTGCTGACCTTGACTTTATTAGTATTGTGAATTAGCATTTTCAAAAGCCAAAGATTCAAGATTGAATTATTATTTGTCTAGCTTCTGAATTTGGTATCATTCTATTTACAGCTGAAGTCAATCAACCTTTGTAAAAAAATCAGTGAAGGTTTCTTTGGGCCCTGTATAACTTTAGTAATAACTCAGCTCTCTTTCTGACTTCTTCAATTCTGCCTCAAGCATTCAAAGCTTCTGCATGGCATAGAGCCAGGGTGTGGTCATCATATGTAGACTGTCTTTGTAAATTAGCATAAGTGCCCTCTCCAGGAAGTTAATCTTGGGAAATTTCAGTACCTCTATGTTGCTGGAGAGCTTCTCTCCAGGTTCCACCAAACCCCGCAGTCCCACAATCCACGTATAAAATAATCACTCAGACGCTTATATTACTACTTCCTGTTGGAGGGGGGTGCTGTATCTTATGGGGACGCAAAGAAAATTTTAGGCCTATGGGATAGTTAATGAGGCTGTATTGTGTGAACCAGTTGCCTTGAAACCGCTCTGGATGTTATATTATCTGGGCCATGGTGTCATCGGAGACCTTTCAGCGGGTCTTGGCTGGTGAAACCTGATGTATCTTAATCTGGAACAAATCCATAGCCTCTGGTTTTCTGTGGAAACAAAAGCAGAACCTCCTTTCCAAAGCAACATATCCTTAAATCCAAATTTTGAAGTCAAGGTACCTTTAAAACATACATATTGGTTTAATTCAACATCTTTTTCGATCAAATGTTTTTTTGCAGTTAAAAATCCCAAAGACAACACAATCCAGATTCTCTGTGTAATATTCATCTTTACGTGGCTTTTTTATATTAATTTATCTTTTTTTTGTCTCTTTCAAGCCTACGTATATTTTACACACATTGTAAACGATTTTATCTGAATCAATCTTATTGTGAATCTATTGGTTTAAACTGCAGCATTCTAAGACTGAAACGGCACTGTGGCTGCTGGCTCCGCCCATTTCAGCTTCCCAACATGGCGTTTTCCGCCAGTTCTGTGAGTCATCAAGTCTCAGAAATAGTGGGTCTAAGCTTTTATCAAAGCAGCGTGTAGCCCAGAAACCTTTTTTTTTTTTTTAATACTAGTAAAGACTAAATCTACCACACAGCTTAATGTGCCGCTGGCAGACGCCTCATTCCCGCCACACTGCCGTCAAACGCAAACGCCAGGAACCCGCCAGTGTTCAAACCTGCGTTTTGCAGCGTCTAGCTGCCCGTATGAGACATGAAGCAGGAACCTGGTTTTGGCTCTGTTTAGAATTGGTTATTAAATATTCTCAGGTTTAAGGTGGAAACTCGAGCTGTTGGGCGCCATTTGTAGCTGGAGGGCTTCTCTCCAGGTTCCACCAAGCCCCGCAGTCCCACAATCCACGTATAAAATAATCACTCTGACGCTTATATTACTTATAAACTCTATGGCCGTGGCAGGCTTCTTGCCAACTGTTCTTTTATCTTAAATTAACCCATTTCTATAAATCTATACCTTGCCACGTGGCTGGTGGCTTACCGGCGTCTTTACATGTTGCTTGTCCTGGCGGTGGCTGCAGTGTCTCTCCCCACTTCTTCTTGTTTCCCCAATTCTCCTCTCTCCTTGTCCCGCCTATACTTCCTGTCTGGTCACTGGCCATCAGTGTTTTATTTACATAGAGCGATATCCACAGCACCTCTAGCCCTACTTCAATGGTCCTAGCCTCATCTGCCCACCAGATCCTCCACTGTAATTGGGGACCATGTTCCAATACGGCTGTGACCAAGTCTCTCCAGTCTTGTAGGACAATTTTGTTACTAATTCACCATGAATTTAACATCTGCTTCACAAAAGGTGAAGACCATATGAGACTATTGCTTCCTTAAATCTAACATTTCCACAGGAATCCAGTCAGCTCTTACACATCCTTGGGGATATCTGTCATTTGGCACTTCCTGTAAGGTGACTGGATAAATTAATGTTGAGTGTTTGAAAACCTTGGGCTCTTCCTTTCTAATTTTATAATATAATGATGAGGTTGGTTCTCCTTTAAATTCCTCTGTCTGGGTCTGAATATCTCCATGACCTGTTTTAATAAGTTTTTCTAAGGTCTGTATCTTAGCACTCATATCAACCAACTTTTTTAGAGATAAAACAAGAATTATCAAACTGACAGTAAGGATTATCGAAATGATAATTAACATTATGTCAATCCTGGTTAAGTTGATTATCCCTTCATATAATTGTTCCATTTTTAAGCCATGCATTGCTTAATCATACAGAGACCTAACTCCTTCCATCGTAATAGTGTTTTCCAATTTTTTAATGTGGGGTAAAACTCTCACCAAATCTGTTGATGATGGTAATGAAGATGACTGTCAAGTGTGAGGCTGACTGCTGTTGTGTACAACAGTAGAAGCCTGAGCGGGTGTCAAAGGCGACTACCTAGTGTGGCAGCAGCCTGAGGAGGGGTCCAAGGAAAGCCCACAACCCATAGGTAGAGAAAAAGCCGAAGAGTCAGCTGTCTGCACAGGGGAATGTGCTAAAGGGACTAACTCCAGCATCCTTTGGAGCAAGCGCCTATAGAGTTTGCTGCAGAGAGGCTGCAACAACAACAACAACAACAACAACAACAACAACAACAACAACAACAACAAATCCCAGACTTGCTCACAGGGCTTGGGGGAATAAAAGAAAGGAAAACCTAGCAGGCAAGGCGGTGACTCCCACAGGAGCTCCTGTGTGCAGCTCCGGCATGTGCTGGTGGTTGCAAAGCCACAGGCAAGTAGCTTTTTCATGAATTTGTGCCCCCAAAGTTGGATGCCAGGTGAAACTCAATCCTAATTAGTCTTATTAAATAAAACCCAAAGTCAGATATTAGGATGAAAGCTGAAAGATCAGAGAAGCAGAGCAGCAGCCACTAGAGACTTCTTATCTCTGTGTGCGAGATTCTGTCTCTACGAATCCTCAGACTGAATGGGCCTGAGATCCTGTCTCTACCCACCTTATATCCCTGTCTCCACCTCCCTAGTGCTGGGATCAAAGGTGTACACCACCACCACTACCTGGTGTCTGGTTAACTAGTGGCTAGCTCTGCCTTCTGATCTCCAGGCAAGTTTTGTCAGAATACAAACAGAATATCATAACAACGCCTGCCTTTTACAAGTCTTAAGAAATAAAAGCTAACAGTCTTATGTTTAAGGCAGTGTTAAATGGGTTGCTAGGTTTGAAGAAGAAAATTAGTATGTGACATAATTTTTAGAGGGAATCTAATTGACTGGTGATGCCTGCTGTCTACTTATAATCAACTGGTGATGCCTGCTGTCTTCCTAGATGTCTTGAATTGAAGCAGCAAAAGAAAGAAGTTAGAGTTCACACCCACATCTTTGAGTCATCTTGGAATATCTGCTCCTAGGGCTTGGAGAGTTCAGTGGTAGCTCATGTTGGTGTGCAAGGCTCTGGGTTTAGTGTGGAAGTGTTACAGTTCTTAGAGAAAAGCCTTTCCCAGTGGAGTGTTGCAGTGCTGAGGGGAAAGGTATCCTGGTCGTCAGCAGCCAAGGAATACTACAAAGTCACATCACACCAAAACAGGAGATTTATTGGGAAAGACATGATAGTGTCTGCCTTTGCTGGGACAAGAAGCAGCAGGAAACTGAGCAGGAGCCAGGCTTTACAAGGGGTTTCTTGGGGTGGAGTTTTCCAGAGTTAGGATTGGTGGGATTTCAAGATAAACCCAGGGATTGGTGGGATTTTGAGCTCAGGGATTAGTGGGTTTGGTGAATTTTCAAACTCAGAAGTGGGCTCGGACCTTTTACCCTACACAGCACACAAAGCATAAAAATAAAATACACATTCATCTTGAAGATAATTTTTTTCCAAAACAACTTTATTGAGCATGGCATTTGATTTTAATAATCACTTACAATTTAATTTTTTAAATGTTATTTAGTGTTACAACTATGAGGCAAGACTTCAGGCAGAAGCAGGTGGAGAGTCATAGGGAGTGGTAGGGAGAGTGCACACATCTGAGGTCCTGATCCTGTCCACTGCCCCCAAGGGAAAACAGTGACAACTTTTCTATGGAAAAAACAACGTGCTAGGCTGGTCTTTCTCCCCCTTGCACTTTGAGTCTGATGCAAAACTGTGGTAAACCTGGGTCTTAGTGCCCATCTGCTGGCTGTCAGCTGGGTTGTATCCTGAAGCCGGTTTTGCAGGTGATGGAGGAGTATGCAGCCTTGCTCAACGGTAGCTAATTCTTTTGTCGTCATGGTGTAAAAACCTGATGTATTTATGACAATCATAGGTGAATTCTCTAAAAGTGATTTCCTTAGCCATGATCTGCAGCATATAATGGATTGTTACTTTGTTTAATTTTAGAAATAAATGTCCCCTCCGTGGAAGAACAGCAAGACACACCACCAGGTATGACATTTCCTTAGATCTAGTGTGTTTTGCGTGTTTAAATTTAAAATACTGTTGGTATTTTAAATTTTCAAATTGGTATTTTAATTTAAAATTTAAAATGCTGTTGGTGGTTCAAATTCATAAAATACCTTATGAAACAGATCTATAGTGGATAAAAATCTTGAAGAGGACTTAAAAAAAGACATTTGTGTTTTCATGACGTGACAGAGTCAGGGAAAACACATTCTAGGTTCAGACTAATACATGTGTGTTGTGTAGAATTTAAGACATGTTAGCAAAGTTCTGCATGAGCTTGCCGTTATAGATGCTGGTTAAGATGCAGAGCCCAAGTTAGTGATTTGTGGTTTTTATTTTTCCATTTTGATTGTCAAGGTGTTTGGTTGTGGCTATAGAAATGGTTGTCTCGGGGTGAAATGAAGCAGTGTGTCCCTCTTGCTCCTGGCTTCCCAGCCTTCTGCAGGGCATCATCAGTGCCTAGGGCAGCCTAGCCTGTGCAGGGCTAGTCATAGCCCCCAGCATGGCACCCACACTCCCTGTCAACACTAGTAAATTCAGAAAAGGCAGTGACCCTGGAGCCAAGGCTGTTGCTCTCCAGTGCTTTTCAAAGGTGGCATTAAACTATCAGGTCATCAGGGATTGGTGTGGACAGGGGAAAGGGTGTTTTGCTCGACTTCCTTACATTTCTTCTCTAGTCATATTTCTTACCATTTCTGTATTGTATTGCTTTTCTTTTTGTGATGTCTTGGTTTATTTCTTACTCCTTCTCAGATTGTGTGCAGTACAAATCTTTAGCAGTGATGTGGATAACCACTATAGATTTTGGTAGGAGTAATTGTACCTGCCAAAATGAATTGAATACTGAATTTCAGAATAAAAAATATCCAGTAAATAAGTTAAAATTTTTAATTTAGAAATTAAAAATAATGAATATTTTTGGTTGTGCGTCAGTGTGTTGGTTTATTTGGTGGATGGGATGTTTCAGGTTTTGGTAGTTTTCATACCATGTACGTGTATGTTAATGTGCAGAAACTTTTAATTTGGAGACTCGATTCATTGGTATTACAGTATGAACGGGAAAAGATATCCATGGAGACATTTATATGATGACTGTGGAACAATGTATATTTTGTTACTTCAAATAGGCAGGCAGGGCAAGCGAAGCTGAAACTTTTATTGCTTTTCTGTTTCTTGTTGCACACTGTTTGACATTGATGGGCAGAGCAGGTTATAGGGTTAGCATTTTGATGATTATAAATCTCTAAAGGAAAGCATTTGCGAAATAATGAATTTCCAAAGAGTATTTTTCAATTTGTTATTGACCTAACTACACTGAAAGGAATTGAGCCTATACATCTCTGTGCTTTTATTTCGGTGTCTTACAAACTGATACCCTATTTGTTTTGAAGCATACACATAAAATAGCAAGTGGTTACTGGGGTAGCGTAGTAAGGTGCTTTGTAAAGACAGACACTTTCCAACCTCACTAAAAGCACACAGGCAGTGACCCTGGAGCCAAGGCTGTTGCTCTCCAGTGCTTTTCAAAGATGACCCTGATCAGGTCATCAGGGATTGGTGTGGACAGGCAAAAGGATGTTTTGCTTGACTTCCTTACATTTCTTCTGTGGAAGAAGTGATCCATGGCAGAGATTCCAGTGTGTGATGAGGTCTCAGGGAATGGTGGATGTGGCTGTTTCTCTGTTCAGGGATTAATTGGCATGATCTGCGAGGTAGAGCAAAGGGAGCAGGAACCCTGAAGGAACTAATCAAGACTGGGCCCTGTAACTGGCTTTTGTAAAAGCTTCCCAGACACTCTGCATGGCTGTGACTCTACATGGCTATAATTTGACTTTGCTGCAAGAAAGTGTGAGGCTCAGATTCGACAGTAGTCATTTTGAACCTTTGCACATGGCTTACTCATTTCCTGTATCCTGAACTTCATATTATAGTTTGCATTATATAATCATATGGAAAAATAGTCAACTTATATTAATGACATTTTGGTCCAGTCAATTGACTGCTTTTGCCAAAGTGTTGATTGCTTGTCTGATGGCAGGAACTGTGGGCACACAGCCATCAGGTCTGTCCCTCACTAGAGCCCTTCTCTGGAAAGCTAGCTGGAGGACTTCTGCAGAAGGCTAAATCTCTGCCTTCCTCGATTACACCAGGCCTAGGCCACGCAGTCTCACTGTTGCTTACTAAAGTTCGTGATGATGTATTTACAGTGTTGCTCCCATAAGCTATTATGGCCATGTTAACGGTCACAGGGTAAGAAACAGTGAGAGCTAAGACTCATCAAGCGTTAGATCGGTGTTTTTTTTTTTTTTTTTTAGACATTTCCTGGGTATCCTAACAACACCAGAGAGGCTAGATTTGCAGTTTTGTTAATTTTGCATGTGAGGATGCTGAGGTGTGTGGCAAGGCCGTGACCTTCCTCAGACGACAGAGGTGACGGGAAGGAGTGCAATTGAAAAACAAATGGTGATTCCAGATCCCACGTGATGGAAGTTTCTGGGGCTTTTTGAGTGTGATGAATTAGCCTCGCCTTGGCATGCCTTTTGCAGTCTTCCTTGTTTTATCGTTCAGGACTGGGGCTTGTGGAGGATTGGCATGTGGAAGATTTGTGGCATCAAGCAAAGTTTTCTAATAATGTAACTTTTGCTTCCTTTGTAAACATGTTGGTGCTTTATAGTGTATTAAATGTTAAGTCTTAAGAAATGATAATTCTGATACTAGAAATTAAATATTTTGAATACCAGATATTTTAAATTCACTAAAATATTTATACCCCCCATTTTTTTAAAACAAGTTTTTACCTTTCTCCTTAAATTCACATTTTTATTTGAAGTCACCCCGCATGTTCCTAGATCCACATAGCACCAATGGAATGACTTAGGAAGGAGTCATTTATGAAGTTCCATAGAGTAATACTTTTGCCAAACAATACTTAACACCTTGTGAGCTAAAGAGCTCCATAAAGTTACTGTCTCAGTGTGCGAGCCAGAGAGTAGATGAACATTAGTTTACATTTTGAGAATCATTTGACTCAGAAGAGAAGTGTGAGGGCATTGTGGTTTCTGAGGGATTCTGCTCCTGGCTCTCTGAAGCTGGTGATCACGCTCTTGGCTCAGTCCACCGTCGAATATTCCAGCAGTGGACGTGGTTTCCCTCCATCACATCCAGCCAGAACTCCCACCCAAGTGTTCCCCTTACCTAGCACTTTAATAAACACTGGCAGCCTTAGAAGTCTGAGGCAAAAGAGAAGATTGGCTTCGTGATCATATTGGCCATGTTTAATAATCACTTCATACCTTTTTATTATTGTTGTTATTGATCCTTCATTCAAAAATCATATATTGAATAATTACTATGACACAGGTTTTGCATTGTCCAGTGCAATCAATAATATAGTCCTTGGCCTTGCCTGGTTTAGAATCCAACTACGGTGTGATAAAACAAGCACGATTCATTAACTTCTCAGAGTGGAGTGAAAGATGGCTCTTAGGAGGGTAATTCACTTGACCTCCAAAGGGCTATGGAAGGAGAAGACTCGCCTCCCACTGGTCAGTGTTGCACTGGCAGGTGGTGTGGAGGTGGGGACAGGTGCTGACTGACAAAGGCTAAGACAGTGTGTCACCTAGGACATCGGAAGACATGGTGGGACGCACACAGGCATCTCACAGTGTCTTCCATATGGTGTTTGGAAATGTAGATCTGGACGCCAGAGTAGCCAAAAACCACTAAAAAATTTCAAGTGGAGAAGTTACAGGATCACGTTCAGATTTAAAAAGGGCTGTCCATGAAGAAAGTGGACATGAAGAAGAGAAAGTGAGTTCAGCTCAGTCAGTAGTGCCATCAGCACTGGACAGTGTGGAGGACCAGAAGGAAAGTATGTACAGAAATTAGAAGGGGAAGTCAACCATTGAAAGGCCCAGGGCTGGTCCTGTGGGTGAAGGGTGGGACTCAGTGGCGATGCATAGGGTGGAGAGATAGATGAAGGGCAGCGGCAGCAGATCTACCTTGAGGATGTTTGCATCTTCCTGGAGCTTCCGAGTGGCGGCTAGGACTACATATCACTACACACTTAAGTCGAGAAGATTGCATTGGGAGGTCTAAGGTGTTTTAAAAGATTTATTTTATCTTTATAATTATGTGCATGTATGTGTGCACCAATGGAGCTGTATGCAAATGTGTGCAGGTGCCCATGGAGGTCACAAGAGAACAGCAGCTCTCCTGGAGTTGGAGTTACAGGCAGTTGTGGGCCTACTTACACTACTGCTGAGAACCAAACTTGCGTCCTCTGCAGGATTAGCAAGGGCTCTTAACTGCTGATCCCAACTCCCTTACTACTGTTAACGAGCATTTACTGTTATACTTTGAACAACTTCACATTGTCTCAATAGAATTCAAAACTACTTATTTTCTCAGAGTCTAGCTAGTTATTAAATTACAGATTATAGCATAACATCAACTCGATGTTGTTAAACTTTTCCTACTGAGGTATAATTTGCATAGTGAGAAGTACTCAACTGTTGAGTTTTCACATGTGTATACGGGTTTATAAATACTCAGACCATATTCTAGAAAACATCTTGCACCACCAAAGTCTTTCCATTTCTTGTCAGCAGTCTCCACAACTGCTGTTCTGATCTACAACATCTAGATTGTTTTTGTGTGCTTTTGAATTTAATGTAACTAGGTACACACACACACACACACATTTTTGTGGTTGATTTCTGTTGTTCAGCATGACATCTGTGAACTTCAAGTTACCTTGTTTGTAAAGTCCAGTAATTTAATCTTAGCCATTACTGTTTTCTATGAACACATGATGATGATTATTGTTCTGATGCTGATGGATGTAGTAATCATTCCTAGTGTTTTGGCCACTATGAAGGAAGCTGCTGTATTCTTGTACATGCCTTTCAGGGATTATTAAAGTCACCTCTGTTGGGTATATAAAGATATATATGTACTTTGCAGTAGCTCCGCATGAGTAA